ATAGCTGCTTCTCCTGACAGTCCATTAACAAGGAAACATTTTAATAAGTACTTTCTATGGTCCAAAATATAGACATTGCGCAGTTAGAAGTAAATTGTTAACAATTTAGAAATCTGCAGAAGCCTGTCTTTGATCTTGATGCTTTCTGTAAGCACCCATAGAGAGCCTCAAAACTCCTGTCAAGAGGGGAAATACAGTGAAGAGAATAAAAAGGAGCAGCGAGTCTTCTGGATGCTCTCATAATGTATCTTGTGTCCCCATGTAATACAGCTGCACTATCGCTATGTGCAAAACACCAGTGCAGCTGAGTGATACATATTTTAAACATGACAGCTGACAAAAGATGTAAATAAACTGCATATTTCTTCATTTTTACACATTTAAGTTATAGACAATACCTCCTCCACCTAAAAAAATTAAAATGTACGCAGTGGGAATGCTGGGTCCCCTGCACCAACTGTTTTGTTCTGAAGATGGGCTCCTGCTGCACCATCCTGCCTGCTCTCTTTACGCATTTCCTTCAATGCCAAGGAGTGCTCAGGTATGCAATGTTCAATTCATTAATATTCTTTTGGCTTTATGCAGCAAGACAAAGTGCTCTAATTGAGCTGCTGCAGTTCTGTCGTTGTCCACATCAGTTCGGTAGTTTTGAAGATCACTGCGATCACAAAGCAAACCACTTCAAGCGACTTAATGGAAACTGCAATCAGCGCAGAGCAGCCACCAGACTGTCACCACAGCTAAACACAACCTCAAGAAACTCTGGAGATGAAAAGGGCCCATCTGCCAATATCATATTTTCAGTTTGCTGACACTACTTTGTTGTCTCCCTCATTTCAATGAGAAAAGATTCTATATGGATTTGTTTTATTTATCTGAAAGGCTGAAATCTCAACAGCTCTGAAAAATATTCATTACTTAATGCTGACAATTAAATATACGAAAGAAACCCCCAAAACAAAATCAAAACTCTATAGCTTCCTTTGGCAGAGTACAAGCTGAGTATATCAAGGCTAGTCTCAAAAGTTAGCAATGTGCCAAAAAAAAGAATTATAAAAAATTAAAAGGTGATCCTATACATTTTTTGTCTGAATACTCAAAATCCTGAGGCCAAAAATAACTTTTTCCCTTTTTGATACCCGCAAAAGGTTACTGCATTCCTTGACTGCGCAACCCAGCCTGGCAGCAGGCTGACTTCAGGGAGCGCTACTGAAATCTGGCAGAGAACAGCCGTGGCACTGCTTCGCAACACCCACTCTTCTTCTTCCAAATTCCATTGTTTCTGCTTCCATGTGCTAAGTTTTTGGGAGATCACTTGTTTTCTTGTTACCATCTCCTAAACAGTTGTTACCCAATGCAAAAAATTAAACAGTCTAAATGTTTAAAGGTAAACTAACCCTGTCTAAAGGGAAAACTGCAGATCGCAGCGTCTTCACCTCTCTGATACCACAGGGCCACCATGGGCTGCACTGAACTGAGCTACTGCTCTCTTCACAGTCTTTAGACACTGCCCTTCTCTGGAAATACACTGAGGAGGGGATGAAGCCAGTGCCAGAGAGAGAGAAGAAATATTTAATATGCAGAAGGATTGTAGCAATGGCCATAATTAAATGTAATGGGAAAATTTGGAAAAGATTAGGTAACCATTGAAATTCAAGTGTGAGACAACCTATAAACAGTAGTGGGAAAATTGCCCTTCAAAATCTAAATTATCATGTCCTCTTACTAAACCTACTCAATTGTGTCTCAGAGATCAACTGTGTTAACTGAAAAGAGTGGGATGGTTCCTGTTCTGGACACTTGCAAAGACTGATAGATTATTTATTCTATGGCCAGTTACATCCTCAAAATATGACTAAAATCTGAATACACATTTGCTCTATAACTAAATGTTGCATGCTATCCATTTAAACCAGTTTAAGAGGTTTCTTACTTCCTGTATTATGTGAAACAGGACATTACCTGCATTGCTTTTCAAGAGAGAAATATAACTTATGATAAAAATATATTCACTTGTCTTTTTGTGCAAATTCTAGAGTTTATGAATGCCTCGGATGGCTTCATAAATACATTTGTGTTATGCTCTGGTATTCAAAACAAGACTATCTCTGTCCCTTTTCCCATTAGAAATAAACTCTTTAAATAGCATCAGGCAAATAGACGTCTTATTCATGGCAAGCAGAAAAAGTTTTTAAATCTAGTTTGACATCTTAGTTATTACTTTCAACTTAAGCTGTAAAACACTCTATAGGTGCCAAAAAATTCTAGTGTAAAGAATTCTTTGCTCCTAATGTGACTTACAGAACAGTATAAGAAATAACCCCAAAGCTTTATCTAAATAAATTTCAGTTTATCACAGTGAACTATAGCTTGCGATGTATTTTCATTTGTGGTTTCTGCATAGCAGAAGGTATTGAATTAGGCATCAACCCTTCACATTGCTCTTTCAGAATTTGGTGCGTATGTGCTGGACCAAACGGCCAGGAATAATCATGCCGTTCCTTTGGCGTAGCCTTAAAAAGATTCTGAAAGCATCGGGGGAAATTTAGCTAAGAAAATATGAAGCAGACTCAGAATGCCCAAACCGTGCAGGCTTAGTCATAAAGAAAGACTGCAGCTTGTGCAGATACTTAAATTAGTTTTAATTCAGATAAGTAAGGGATCAATACCAGTAAAGCTAATATCAGGATGGATTTCAAAACAGGCTTCTTACTCCGGTGAAGAACCTGGCACCTCGATGGGGCTCAAACAGTCTGCAGTTTCTGCGAGACTGCAATTTCCCTGCTGTTTGCTGAATGAGCTATGTTACATCGAGCTGTACCTACCCACACTGCATGGACACTTTTGGCTTTGGTACAGTTGAACCCTGGTATAGAAAACAGAAAATGAATGCCATTGCTCAGCAAATACTGGAAATAGCGTTCAACCAGCAGCATGGCGAAATTTTGCACATATTTAGTGACCATACGGCCCTCTGAAACACTGATACTCTGGAGAGACATGATGCTTGGACTGCTTAAGAGCTAGTACTACTGAAATGATTAGAATGATAGGTACTTTAAATGTAGCCGTATACAGCAGAGCTCAGACCCTCTCATTGATATTTCCACACTCAGCGATCCTGCTGACCAGGCAATTTTGCTCCCCCAGCTCAATTCTGAGCAGGAAGAACCATCTGCACAGTGTGGTGGCCATCACCACTTCTGCTCCCCTCCAGGACCCGGGTATGTCTGTGACAACTTCCATACCCAAGGAGGTTGTTACTGGGGTATAGCCACAGCGTGAGCTTAAACAAAGCCGTGCTGTTGTGCCCTGCACGGACAGACCTTGGAGTGTGAGGTCCTTCCTGCTGCAGTGGCAATGCTCTCACAGTCCTGCAACCATATCTGAGATATTCTACCTGCAGTGGTTTCCAGAAGAGCTCTTCTAGCTAAAGCACTATTTTTTCAACCATGTGCATCTATGCATTAGTGCTTACCCTGTGTAAGAATGTATTTAAATAAAAACCGGACATTACGAAACCAGTGGAAGACTAGAAGCAGCTTTGAGGTGTTTCAAAATGCTTTTCTTAGTAAGAAGCATTGATATCATATTATCAGACACTTTGTTCTCTCTTTTTGGCTGCCAACCTAATGGCTCAGCTATTACAGTATCACTGTTCTTACAGCCTCAAATGCACTCAAACCTAATTTAAACCCCACCTTTTCCTGAAACCATGTTAGCGGTGAAAATGAGGTTGACTGCATCTAAATCTGCACTTACAAAATTAAAGGCTGGATTTTCTTAGCAGAGGATAGTTGGTTGTCAAATTTACCACCACCAGAGATCACACCCTCCCTCAAATCATCACATATGACTTTCCTCTTTAATGAATAAAAATACAGATACAATGAGTCAAAGTTGTATTTTTTTTTTCCTGTCGCCACTTTTTGTGGTATGGGAAGTAAAAGGAGACTTATGGCTCTTCCCTAGGGATGGTGCATTTCCAGATGTATGAAAGAATATGCAGATATTGCTTAGCATCTTGAAGCCTTGTCTACAGAGGCACTGTACATACACACAGTTAATAAGAGATAAAAGTCGTGGCCCTAGAGAGCTTCCAGTCAAAACAGAGGAAAGGACGGGGAAAAAAAGAAGTAATATTATCCTCTTTTTCAATATATATATTTAAATATGAAAGCAAAGAACCGAGAAAATAGGTCATTTGCCCAGGACTGGAAGGAAAGCCTATAAATATGAATTTAAACTTAATACTTCTCAAGTCTCAATGCCGTGTCACAAAACCATTATTTCTTCCAAAACAGCATATTAAGGAAATACCATCAGTAACAAAGCAAATTGCAGACAGATCATAAATAATAAAACACACTGAAATGTAAGTATGAACAATTCTGATGTTTGAAAACTTTCTGTGGTGTCCAATTTGAATAATTGGCTGTTTCACAGAAGCTGGCAAATACATGTCTCTTGTAACAAAAAGTCATTGTGCAACAAACCCTTCTATTTTAATTTATAATTATCTACCATAATGAATGGATCTCTGTATTGACTGCAATCAAAATCTAATGGCTGAAACATGAGGTCGAAACACAGGAGAGGGTCTCCTTCCTGGATATAAGGAAAAAGGACAAATGGAATATATTTAGGGAAGACTGAGGGAAAAAGAATTGAACTTCTATCTGAGAGCTACTTGTAGAAGCATTTTTTGTTGCATATTTTGTACTTCTCTTCCAGTATCAGAGAGAACTGACTGTAATGCAGTTGGAAAAAAAACTAACTATACTTCATGACTTTGGCCTTTCCCATAGCATCTGTATTCCTTCAGCATTTATATTTGATGAAGTCTTGTTAAAAGAGAAACTAATTCTTAAAAAAAAACCAACCCAAACAAACCGTGGTGGTAAAGACATAAATCCCTCGCCTTGTCCCCAGAGCCTGCCTCTTCAGAATAACTATAGATCCGATTATTATGGAAAGGAAGATTTAAACATCTTATTTACCTGAACAGCATCATAATACATTTTCTTGCCTTCTTCATCTATCTTGTCTGACATCAGCCATGCCTTGAGCAAATATTCATAAAAGCTATCCCCAAGCCCTCCAATGGAGACATGATCTAAAAAGGGAAGAAAGACATTGAACAGCAATTTCATCTTCAGCCTGGTCAATAAAATAAAATTACAGTTTGAAATGGTGCATTTAATGCATTTAAACTTCTCTTCCTACAACAACCTTTAACAAATTTAAGCCTGGAACCTCAAGAAAAGCTTACCTGATATATATACAGACCATTATTTCTTCAATTGCTAACTTCTTCATCAGGCTAAAACACAATAGTTATTTAATATACACAATGTGTCACAGGAGTTCATGGCAAAGAAACAAAAATTTGTATGTTTAACATCTAATTTGGGTAGCCTATCTCATACAAAAATGTGTTAAGTTCTTTTTTTATTTTAAAGCCAGGAAAAAAATTAGAAAGTGCTCTCTAATTTGATAAAGGCTTTCCCCTCTTAATATGCAGGCATTGCTTTTATTTGCTCTTTTATTCACTAATACTCCATTAAAATAACTTCATAAAAAAGGCCAATATGTTTTGGCTCCTTACTGAAGAGCTGAATTTCAGGTTATTTTATAGTATTTTAAAATGCCAACCCATATGCTTAAAAATCGTATTACGTTTTTGAACATCTGGCTGCTCTCAGAACTCAGCAGTGGTTCTAGAAAGAAAAAAAACAAGACTTTGCCACATCTACAGATGATTATTGCTATCACACTGCTTTATTCTGCCCTACATTTACTATGAGAAATGAGCTGGTACTACAGATGCTGTGATTATTCAATTGCGTACATTTAGGACATGACCCTGTGAACACTAACACCAACTGAGCCTGACAATATTAGTATTACTATATATATATATATGTATAAAAAAAATCTCTAAGCTCTATTAAACTAAGAACACAAGGTAGAGGTTTTCTTTTTTAAGTTGGTGCTGCCTGGTAACATTAAGGAATTTGGCATTGAGTCTTCAGTGAAAGGTTTTCAAAGTGCTTTACTGGGACTGCTCATTTATAACCACCAATTTTACAGCAAGGAAGGGGTCTGCTAATTCCACCGGAGACATCCAGGACAGAGATGTGGGTACGTATGTCACACAGCAAATCTGTGACTCATACCACAGAATTCTGGGCATGAGAAAAGCACAACACGCATGGGGTAATCCAGGCCGGTAACGCGAGATGCAGAAGGGTTTGTGGCATTAACTCACTCTGATCTTAGCTTCAAAGTTCTGCTGCTCTCAGTGGCATTCAAAAGAACACAGAGAATTTATTTTTAAACTCCTTCATATCTTCTCCTAATGGAATGCCTCCTTTTGCCTACTGAATAGGTTGCAAAGCCATGCAAATGTAGAAGATATCCTTTTTTTATACTCAAACTTTATTAACGGTGTCTTTTTCCTCCACGAGTCTGTGACATAGAGAAAATGATTTAGTTTTCCAAACATATCTTGTCCCTTTGACTAGCAAATACATTGTACCATCAAACCTGGGTTATAAATGGGTTTTCTCCTCCTCTCCTCTTTTGAATGAGATATATTAAATTTATGGAAAGAATACACCATTTATTTAATTGAATGTTCCTAATCCAAAAGGAAAAGAGGCTTCTTAAAAAAAATGAGAACGTTTTCTATGATCGAAGGCTGATCTTTGAACAGCAGCATTTAAATGACCTTTATGGTTTTCTAAATAAATTACCATAGAAACCTCTGACATTTGCAAACTAAATAGCACAAGCACAGTTTCATCAATAATAAGCCCTGTTATTATATACATTATTGCAGTAGACAAATCCAATTGACGCATGCTGCAGCAAATCACTGTCAGTTTACCATCAAAATAACAAGGGCTAAATGAATTTACAGGAACAATGGCAGTGATCCAGCAGTGCCCCTCCACAGCTACAGCATTGCTAGGGAAGAAACGTCCAGAAAATATTGCCTCCCCTCCCCGCTTGATGTTTGAGAGATAATACTTCCATCTTGTACCAATTAAGGGTCTAGTTGGTTTTATTCCTGTTGTAATGAACTGAAAACAGCCTGGAAAAGCAATCTCAAATAAAGCACCTATCAGGTCTTACATTCTGATCTTCTACTATGTGAAGTAAAAAAACAAACCAGTGCCTGCAAATGGAGGCAACTGAATTGGAAGAGATGCAACAGGATCAAATCTGGTTTCGCTACTTCAGCATGCTAGGAGCTGACCTGCATCACAGTATCTGTGTAACTGCACGTGGAGGAAGCTATTTGTCTGTCAATACTGCATGCTATTGGAAAGCAAAGCTAGTATAAACTGTAAATTTTTCTGTGCACTGCAACAAAAACCAGCATTTAATGTGAACAAGGAGTACACTAAGACAGAACTATATAAAAAAAGAGGGAAATGACAAAGGCCATAAGGCAGAGTGAGCATTTGTCTGCTTTAAAATAAATAAGGCAGAGCCACTAACAGCGTCAGCCACTAGAAATATCTGCTGTCATGCAGCTCACCAAAAAGCGGAGTTTCTGTGGCTGACTGAAGCTGAGGTAGGAGGTAACTGCACCTGGCTCACAGATGTTAAGGTATCCTTTTAATCAAACCCAGTGCCTGTTGCTGTAGGATCAACACTTCCCCTGGGAGGTTTTGATGTTTTACAAGGCTGTGCTAAACCAACATGGGTAACACGCTGGAACATGTCTCAGATCAGCAAATGGATGTCAGAGTTTATACTGAGATGCCAATGGGAGTCGATGGTTATGCATGCTGAGCTGCCACAGGCCTTGTGGCACAGTGAATTGAAGGTTCACAGCGTGGCAGACAAGAAGTCTTTCTAAAATGACAGGCATACTTCTAATCCATAAAGGAAAAGAGCCTTTGACTTGATGGGACAATACAACCGAGCAGCACAACCTTTTTGGAAATCTTTTTAATTCAGAGTGACACAAAGCATTCAAAAATAAGTCTTATTCAATAAAACACTCGTTCTTTGCCTTTGCAAAAATTATCTTATCCACCCAGACTGTGGCCAGTCCCATAAGGACTCCAGAACCTCACTTCTACCTTAGCTGCATCCTAAACAATCACACTTAATAACTTCTCCAGTCCTTTCCCTCTCTTGTACTGTCTAACCAGCTCCAAAACTCAATCTACAGGACCATCCCATCTGCCTGTGCCTTTTCAGACCACAACAGAGCATCTTGCTTGCTTTCTTTCAATACTGTAGGGAGGAAAAAATATGAGAATGCTGAGTCACATGACTTAGATGGTGGTAGAGTGAACCTAAGGAGGAAAAGTGGAAAAAGAAGAAGTAGGGTCTCTAGACTAATCATGATCGTGCACACTATGTAGGCCATGAACAGGTTATGAAGATAGGAGAAGGCAATGCACAAGAAGAAAAGGCTCAGTCACCAGGAAGGGGTAAGAAGTTAAAATAATTCAAGGA